TCCGATGCAATAATATAACCATTGTTATCAAGTAAGTAACAATCTCGTTCTAAGGATTGACAAGTGTCTTTTGCCGATGTACAACCAGTTTCTGAGTAACACTAAAATATTTATAAAAAAAAAATACCCTTAATTCAAACCACCTATAATAGTTAGAATGTATAAAATATAGAATCCACCTGTTTTGTAATGTTTGAAAACAATTCTTGAAGAGCTGAGTGTCTGAATTGATAACCGACAACTGCAGCAGCACCTTTCTTTTTATTTTCTTTACTTGTAACGAAAACCGCTTGACTCGCTGTTACCAATGTTGATTTAATGTTTTCTAAAAAACAAATATTATTTTTTTTTAAAAACGACTAAAATATTTAATTAATTATTTTTTTAATGTATAATATTTTTGTTTATTCAAATAATTTTAAACAAGTAAATTTAATTGATTTCTAGTAGTTAATAAACAGAAGACATAACTATATGTAGGTAGTTTTGATTCGATGAAAAGCGAATGTGTATTAGAAAAAAATCATAAATGTTTTAATAGGATACGTTTATGTAACTTATTCCGGTTAGGTGAAAACGCTATTTGTATTAAAAATGCAAACATGGATTTTTACTTATTTTATATAGTTTGTTATTGGACATTATAAATTTATTTATAAAAATTCTCAATATTTAACCATCAAAATTGATTACTTGCCATTTTCAAACGGTACAGAATATACATAGCTTTCATCGTTTACCATGTTATATTCGACCGCCCTCCTGTACCAAACTTCTTCGATAGAGTAAACATTTTCGTCAATGAAATGTCTGTAAATTATATAAAATGAATTTACAATAAATGATAATTTATTAAGACTATTGAATATTTTATTTTACGGTTGTTGGTTTTCTTGGTTATAAGAATAATTGTACGATGTCTTGGGTTTGTCTTCATAATCCATCCATCGGGTAAGACCACTATGAGTAGCAACAAAAGCCAATGTAACTCCAAATCTCTTTTCAAATTCGTTTCTAAAAACATATAAATAAAAATAAATGTTAATTAAATTAGTTTAACCGACCCATACAAGTACTTTACCTCGGTAATAAACTCATCAAGACCGCTGCTGGACTTCATTAAGACAAAATAGTGCGATGTGTTAACGTGAAAAATATTAAGTGAAATATAATATATAAAAGCGCGTGAGTAGTGCATATAATGTGATTTTAATTTTACTCAAACTAATAAATAAGCTCATAATAGTATAACATTTTTTTGGATATTATACATTTAACTGTAGTTTCTCATATTTTGATAAAATCAAATCAATGAAAAATATAGGTGTTATACGTATACATCTATAATACGCATAACTATCATGCGCATGAGTAGATATTAGTCTTCAAATTATTAAATCTCAAATTGTGAATAATTGGCTATGGTAAATTAAGAAATTCCAAAAAAATGTTATTGCACAAACATATTTTTATAATTTTTAATTGAATACTTAACTATATATTGTGCAGTTGGATTCGTGAATTAAAAAAACCAAGCTAAAATTAATCATCTTATAAAATAACTTACTTTTTTTTCTTTTCTGTATCATTTTTAGCTTCTGTAAAAATACCTTTAGTCATATTGGCATCGTATATCAAACTAAGCATAAGTTCTTTGTCACCTGAAAACAATAAACCTTAAATAATTGTTACTGCAAGTCTATGCATCATAATTTGTTGTTATTTATTGTAAGCCATGCTTTTTGGATAATTTTAATTTTAAAATTCTTTAATTTTTAAACTTCATTTACGAGTTTTAAGCCTTTATATTTGATTTATATTTGTTATATATTGCAAGCAAATAATATCAAAGCCAAATCATAATGAAACACAAATACTAACACAATCAAAATATTATGTTAACTTTTCAAGTCAAGGTGCCATGTATTATAACTAATATGTACATGTGTGTATAATTCATAAAAATCATGAAAACATTTTTATATACAACGTTTGGTAGAGGGTTTCCGGAGTATAATTTTATTGGATTCAAATATAGGTAAAGTTATATAATGTAGACACTAAACAATCTGAAGTTATATTATTCATGAACAAAATATAATCATGAAATATGATTTACGCACGATAAATAAAAAATATTAATTATATATGATTATAATCACTTTACATAGGTACACGATATCATTCACAAATATTTCTGTTATTATTTGGTTAGTAGTAAGAATTACATTTTTTCGTTAATTGAGTGATATCCAATGATAGGTATTATAAAATATATATACTATGCTATACCAGTTACTATTAAAATTATCAAACCTATATGACTCTATATTTAAATGAAAATTAAGTATATAAATACATACGCTATGTAGGATGTAGCCATTACAAATACCTAATTAAATTTTTCATCAATAAGTATTTGATACAAAATATAGAATGTAATAAAACAGAAGATATTATATTCTAATAATAACAACAAAAAATAATAATAGTTTATCTATTTTCCTATGAGTAAACTAAATATTTGAAAATGCAAGAATTAACTTTACTACAATAAGTAACTAATTGAATTGTTTTTATTTTTATTGTTATTTGATTTATAGAATTACAATGATTATGGATATTGTTTAACCAAAACTAATATTAATTGATATAGGTAAAATAAGTTAAACATATTGGTCCAATATTATTGGATGCCAATTGGTTATTAGCTATTGGAAACTCATCTAATATAACTATCTATAGTTTGTTTCTTCTATGTATTTTTAAAAGTACTTTAAATTTACTTTTATCAGTTTTAACTTTCAAAAATACTTATTAAATCCAATTCGCTATCAAAAACCACCATTGAAGTTAAAATTTGAAGCAGTGAAACAACTTAACGCAATGTAAGACACAAACAGAAAATAAAATTGGTAAGTATAAAAAAAAAACATAAATCATTATAAAACAAACAAACTCATTCATTGCTTCACTCGGAATTTAAAAAATATGACATTGTTTTTTTTTAATATTGCCTAACTATTTTGTAAAAACATTTTAATATTTCATAATATAACGCAAAAAATAAATTATACCTACTATTTTTATTTTTTTTTAAATATTTTTTTTTTTGGTTTACGTGTTCAGGATTATAAAAATCAAATAAACTGATTAAAAATATAAAATAAATATTATACTCCACAACATTTTAACTTGCATAAAACACTGCGATCAAGCTTGATCATGCAAAAATATTAACACTAAACTCACAATGACATTTGCAATCGAATTTTTCTTCGGGTAATATTGACCCGTTTGCTGCGAAAACAAATAATTACTAATCCTACAGCTCGTTAAAAATATATATCATTATTTATAAAGCTAATACATATTATATTTTAAGGTATTATTAAATATTATTACAAATGTTTAATGTTACTTTTTAAAGATGAAAGGTAAATAGCTATACGAGTATAGGAAGCAGGTTATTAGAAGCAAGACTTAGAATATATACTCACAATCGTATGATTCACTGTAAAATCTTGGAGGAGGCCATTTATTCCAACTATTATCGGTTTTACTGATTCTCTTTAAAAAATGCTTAAGTTCATCTTCCGGGGTTTTAAATGACGTATTATCACCATCATCGTATGAATATCGACAATAAAGCCTGGAAATAAATAATAATACGCATTTCAGTTTGAACTAATTGTTTTAGCAATACATAAATATTTTTAGTTTAATAATTTGTAATTTCCAAGTAAAAAATTATAAATTAATATGTATGGTGAAAAAAATGAAAAATAGATTAATAAAATAAAGTAATTATTAACTGATATTATTTGATAAAAAATAATAGCTTAAATATGTAAATTATTTTTTCAAATAAAAAATTGTTGAAATGTATTTGTTGAAATGTATTTATTAAAATATATAAAATCATTTATTTTACTACTTTTTTTTTTTTTTTTTTAGAGTGATACAATTTAGTGTTTACCAATCTGGATGAATTCTCCACTCGTCATCTTTGAAATAGTCCAAAAGGGATGTTCCTAGATAGTTTATAATACAATATTAATTTCAATTTCATCAATTAGCTTATTTTTATTAAAAATTACTTGTTGTATTAAGATTTTGAAATCTGTCTGGTATTTTGACTCTGTATCCAAAATGCTTTTCTTGTAAAGCAACCACTACTGTAAACGGAGTTCCTTCAACAATCGAAAAATAATAATGCCTCTCTGCCGTTGTTGCACGTCTCTTTTAAACATAAATGATACTTGTATTATTCATTTAAATCAATAATTAATTAATTCTATAGATTACATTTAGTTTATTTATTTATTTGTGTATGCATTAGATATATTATTTTTTTCACAACTTAAACTTTAGGTTTTATGATCCGTACGTGTATAGATTGTATATAACAAATAAAGAAAACAAAGTTTTTATGATAAAAATTGTTTGTCATACTAACAAAAAACATATGATTTTTTTTTTTTATTATTTATTAATTAATTATCTATCAAAGTACTATTAGTTATGAATATACATAAAATTATTTATTTTGAATTTAGTCTCAGTTAAATGCTTAATATAACTCATGATACACAAATTTAGTATGTAGATGGGATAACCAAATTGTTAACATAAAAATATATTATATTTTTCTTATTAACAATTTTAAAGTAAAATTTGATTTATTATTTTTATTTTTTAATAGATATAAATAATTTACTATATTGTCGTAATGATATTTCACAGTGATTTCTCGATCGCCAGTTGTTTGATTGATGATATAATCACGAAGCTGTAAAATGTAAAAGAGACAAAAAATTTAGTTTTAGGTGCATGAAAACAAAGCGATTTATATGGTTTTAGATAAAATATTTATTTCAGCAGAAAATATTAAATTGATTAGTCAAGCTATAGTTCAATGAGTATTCCTTATAAAATATAAACCCAATGACCATGATTTTGATGAACTGGAAATATTTCCTATTTCATAATATTATATAAGACAGTAATAATTTCAGAAGACTTCATTTATGTTAGATTCGTCATCTACATTATTTCAGCTGTTCGAAATAACCACCTAAAATTTAACAATGACACGGAGCTTTGTAAGTAAATATTATTCATAAATAATTTTTGTTTAAATAATAAATGATGTATAAAATGTATATTACACAATAAAATGTTGAAAAAAATCTTCTAAACTACTGTATTTTTTTAACACGTATATACTTTTTATTAATATAATTTTTTTACATTATTTTAATTATTTAATACCTACCGTATAACGGCATTACATTATAGCTTAAAATACACACATAAATCTTTTATTTTAAAATATTTCTGTTTAAAGAACAATATTTTCATAAAATAAAATTAATACTTTTGTTGTGTAATAAATTCAAAAATTAAATAGTATAAAGTAAAATAATTTTACTCTGTTTTAATTTTTGTCAAAAAACAAATACAAATTTACAAATTAAATTTCATTACAACAAAAATCTAATAAGCATATGCAACATGTTTTAGAAAAATTCAACAAACAATAATTATAAAACAAAATTTAATATAATAATTAAAGTATTTTTGCCTTGTTTTATATCTAAAATATATTACGAATAATACTTAAATTATAGTTTATAGAAATATTGGTTAATAGATTGAATTTAAACGATTAGTAGTGATTTTTATTATATTATCACGAGTACATGATAGATATTTATTGTATTAATAAACAGCAATATATTTTTAAAATTCTATTGATATTTTTGTCTTTATAATGTTGTTTATTAAACAATGACAATTAATTGTTTTTGTTTATGATTATTATTAAAATTTTATTAAGTTATAAGGTTATATTAAGTTTTTATTTAAACCATCTAATAGGTACTAAAGAAAAATTACAAATTGGGCGAAAACAGTTGTTTGTAATAAATAATTTGAGTTAAAACCTAATCAATTATAAATAAAGATCATTATTATTTAATAATGACAACTTTAATATCTTAGGTATGCTAATTATTTTTTTTCGCAAATGTATAGGTGGTTTGTATAGTTGTAGCTATTTTTTCTCGTCTCGATTGCAAAAACATAAATGTTATTCATAAGTCTGGTGGTCCAGATAATGTCATCGAAAAAATTCTTTTACCACAGAATGAAACAACAGCTTTTTTTGAGACAGACAATACAGCAATCACTGATGACCACAAAGTTATAACACCACAGAATAAAACAATGAAATTTCAAAAAAACATCACGTCCTCCACCACCCAGCAAAATGAACCTGTGGTCGAACGGGATCATTTAAGAACTGATCGGAAACTTAAGATTCGTCAAGTGCCTGTGGACGTTCTAATGATGGCTAATACCAACGCGATGAACAATATGAATGCCGACCAATCATACTACCAAAGTCCTTTAATGGTATATCCGTTTTCTATGATGAACACATATTATCCCAAATACTTTCCATACACATACCAGAGAAACCAGGGCATTCCTTACATTGGATAGTAATAACAATATATTAATATACATTAAAAAATAAAAATAAATTAATAATAATATTACGAAATCATATAATTGTTAATTTATTATGTAATGTTAATTTTTTTACTAACCGCGAGTATACTTTCATTGAATACCCTTGCATTATTGTCAGATTCAACAAGTTCCACTTCAGTCACATCAATGCTATTGTAATTCGGCTTCAAAATATCTCCAAACTAAAAACATTTATTTTTGTAAAAATAATATTCGTTTGTAACTAATCTAATAAATAAATTTTATTTTAAAATGTAACCTAATTTAATTATATTTTATAATAATTGTATAATAAACCATACATTTATTCATTAAAAATTAAAATCAGTAATTCATATCAGATATATATATATATAGTGATTTTAATAAAAAAATAATTGAGATTTGATAAGAACATTTTAAAAATAATATACAATCTAAATATACATTTTTAGACAGTAAGTTTATATGTTTATTTTTATTTATTAAGATACGTGTTAATAAGTGGAGAAAAAACGATTGTAGATTAAAAATTTAAAATATTTAACGATGGAAAGATTCTCAATATTTAAGTAGTAAATTTGACATGGTCAAATGTTTGAGAAATGTCCAAGAATACTGTAATGCAAATTTTTCTCCAAGCTAAGTGATTTTAAGTCAACAAATTGATGAATTTGATGAATACTCGATTAACGTTCCGTCAATCAAGCCAATAATTGTTAGGTAATATTAATATTTTTATTAAATGTGTATATGTTTTAAAATATGTTTTTCAAAAATGTTTAAAAAAATAAACTAATTTGGATGTAGAATAATTTAAAGATTCGTTGAAGATTTTTCTATTAAAATTATAATTTTAATTGTCTACTACAAAATCGAACAAGATAATCAAAATTCAGAATTTAATTAAAAAGTTATCATTTTTTTTTTTTAGTAGTTGTCGTAGGGGATAAATCATATTAAAAATCAATTAAACCAATGTTTAATGTGTATCAATAGCCAACGAGATCGAACAAAACTAGAACATTATTTTAACAGAAACGAATTTATACAATTAAAAATTCATCTAGGGAAAAATATAATTGATATACATGATACATTTTTTTTTATCTATATATTTCGTTTTATACTAAATATTATCGTATGTATTATAATACTAAAATGTGTTTAAAATATTTAGAGAGGCAGTGTTAAGAAATGCCTGATTATTTGTTTTCATATTATATTGCTATCGTTCATTTAACATTTAAATGGAACCGTTTAATATTTTTTCATTTTTTTTGTTCAATCTTTTAGAATATTATTGTTTTTTTTTTTTTAAATAACTAAATATATATTTTAAAATATACTCAATAGTGAATAAAAAAAGAGAAACATTTTATATTTACTTTCAGAAATCACAATTTACTTACAACTGGTCTGAGATCTGGATGTGTGACAATAAAACCATTATTTGTAACGATGAATGCATAGTTATTGACACCCAACTGAAAATCACGGATAAATATTATTTATATTATAAAACCAATAAGACATATTTCACTAACTATGTGAGGTGACATTGCTTCTCGTAAATCAGCTTCGGGAACATCAGTTCCAACAACACCAAGTAAATGGGCCACTTTTGTCTGCAAACATTAAACTTTTTTACTTATAATAGGTTAACAAAAATAATTATTTCAATAAAAAATGTGCGACATTCAAAGTCACCCTTTTAAAAATCGCACACCAACTAGTTATATTATAACTTAAAATTATATTTCAACAAAACAAATTAAATAATACTAATAACATAACATTAAATTTGTCTACTCTATTTTGCTTAAATTAAATCAATTTAAGGTTGTTGTTTATATCTACAATATACTTAAATTTCAAATTACTATTGATTCTCTACGCGCTAGTCTTTGACTAAAATATATAAAACACCTTTTCAAATTTGAATTGGGTTTCAATTAGGCCAAGTATCTATTTGAAACCAAATATTAGTTCTAACTATAATTTCTAACTAGGTACCTAAATAAATATAATTAAACATATTAGGTCCCTATCCGTCGCCATTATTTAGAAATTCTATCTAAAAAAATATTAATTCTAAACATAGATTTCTAGGCGTTCTAAATTTTTACATTTAATCTATCTAGTGCGTTAGTTAGGCACCAATATTTGACACTTAATTTTAATTACTAATAATACAATATATAATATAGTTGATAATAGATACAGAATTGTTTGATATAGAAGAATAAATTTCACAATATAATGTACTATTATAATAAAATATGATTACTATAAAAATATTAGGATTTTTCTAAGGACGACCAAAAAAATTATGGAAGACTACCTGCTGAATTTTTAAATACCTCTTTTGTTTCCCAAACCCAGTAGTTATCATTTATTAGCCTTCTTATTGTGATATTCTGTTGGGAAATAATTATTAAACATGTTTAGTATGAGCCATTAAAAAAAATTATATTAAATATTTGTTTAATAATCTGCCGGTATTAAAGTATTTGTCAAAAATATACATACTATATACAATAATAAATTAATATGTTTTTTTTTTTTTTTGAAGGAGGGGAGGAAGTAAGTACCACCACATAACGTGTAGTATATACATTAATAATATAAAATTTAAAACTCATACATCTTAATAGTTTTTATTAAATTAATTTTAAATAAAAAGTTTTAGATGATGTATTATTTTATAGGCATTAAAATAAAAATTTTAAGTTTAATTGAGAAATTGAGATTAATAATTAATTTAATGATAGATAAATAATTTATAAAAATAAATACTTAATATCTATACATTACTTAATACTTATATTTTTATTTGTTTGTAATGTTGTAAATTCAAAAGACTGACAACCAACAGGCACATATTTTTAACCAATAATAGGTAATTTAGACTCGACACCAAACTAACGTGTGATCTACCAACAAATGGCAATCTAAGATAAAGCGTTGTAACCGTTGTAGCCTGTAGGTAAAACATATCATCTACTGATTGTTGATAATTGCCATTAGAGTTCTAAGTTTAATAATAATTTAATAATTTAATAATAATGTCGATATTTTTTATATTTAAAAAGATAGGTCAACAAATACTTTTATAAAATATAAAAATGTGGTAAACATAATAATATTCACACTGATTGAAGGTAAGGAATATAAAACTCTTGTCATTTTAAAAACCACAGATTATACATCAATCTGTAAATCATATTTAGTATTTTTTGTATACTAATATTATAAAATAGTGAAAAATAGTCAAGATCACACAAAGGACTCATCCCTATAGTTCTTAGAAAACATAAGATACATCCTTTTTTAAGTATTTTAGCCTTAAAGTATAATAGTGTTATATTATATTATATTGATATACAACTTAGTATTTATATAAATTATTTTTCTCGGTTATAGTGCTTATAAACTATAGAATCTAAAAATATTGTGTTTTCGAATAACGGTATCTTAAAAACTATAACATTTTAATCTAGTTTTTACTTAAGTAATGCAATTTACTATGACAGTGTAAAACTTTATGATATGCCGTAGTCAGAACTTTATTTTTTGGATAACTGCATTTCATACTTAATTTTTAAGTTATTACTAAAGATCTAGTTATATAACTCATTTTTAAAAATAGCAGTTTTTGACTTTTGTCAAAGCCAATCCAAGTAGGTATTACGTAATTAGGAAAAATCAATTCGAAATTAGCACACTTATTTTTAACAGTTCATCGAAACGAGACCAAAATTGTTTTATTTCTAGAATGCATTAATATATTAAAACTTAAAAGAAAACATAAGTTCAATAAAGCTGATTTGAAAAATGTATTTGACAATATAAACTAGATTTCTTTTGAAACAAATAGGTAATTAGGGAACAATGAAAAATTGATTTAATTGGTCTGAAACACTATGTCTACAATTACCTACGAAAAAAAGTTCAAGAGGGAAGCGAAACACGCACTTCTAGTCTCTTTTTGACTACGACATGGTGACTATGTATATGATGTATAATGTATTTAATATTTTAATGTGGTGTGTATTCAAATAATTGAAATTGTATAAAATCAATAACAAATCAACGTTGCGTTGGAATACAAAAAATTGTATTGAAAGTATTCCAAAACAATGTACAGCTTTAATCCTTCTAAAATGAATTTATAAACAAAATGAAAGAAATTGATGATTGTTGCATGTTAATGTGACTTCAAAAATTATTTTTTATAAACTTACCATTTCAGTTTTTTTGTCGAATGCTGGCATCGCAAGAGACGTTATTAAATTGTGTTTTTTTTGCCTATTCACGTTAACATTTTGATCCAATTCCTAAAAACACATGAAATATAATTTAGTTTAAAAATATATTTAAGTATCAGTATGTACTTTTCTTTTTCGATCTCGTTCTCGTTTTGCTACATTCTTTGGATAGAAAAATGTGTCTTTTGTTCTTTTATAACTTATCGTATCATCATACTGTTGTTGACATTCTTCTTGTTCCCATAAATAATCAGTCATTTTTGGATCCTAAAAAAATTATCAATTAATTTTATTTTGAACTATTTATAAATGATAAACTATCATTACAGTAACATCGGCGTATAAAGGCGTCCAAATAACCGGATGATGAGATTGGTGCAATACCAAGGGCCTAGCCATTACCGGTAAATAGTGTACCACTTGCTCTCGAACTTCTTCTACCGTACTTAAATGAACAAAATACCCTAAATTAAAAAATGTTATAGTTCTTATTATCTATTTATGTATGGTTTTAAATTTAATACCTATCTAACATAAATTTATATCAATTAAATTTAATATTTTAGATTATAAAATATTTACCATGATTTGCACAAGCCATCCATTGCATGTCTCTTATTTCAGGCAGTTCTCGACTAATTAGATAGGTAAATACTCTTACTGGCATACCCATTGTACCATTCTTCCAATTATGTGATTTAAATAATTCATAAAAGTTTTCTGGTACACCATCAGTGACCAACATGATGGCCTGATTACACATAGCACCCAAATTTCGTTCGCGGT